GGTTTATATAAATTTTCAGTTGGTTCTAAGTATTCAATAACATCGGTTTATATAAATTTTAGGTTAATTCTAAGTATTCTATAATATTCTCGGTTTATATAAATTTTCAGTAGATTCTGAGTGTTCTATAACCTTCTTGGTTTATAAGAATTTTCAGTTGTGTTTTGTCCTTAAAAAAAAGTTGGTTCTAAGTGTGGAAGTTTATGAATTAGAGAAATTTATTCTAAAGTTTTTTCAATGGTTTATGAATTGCGGTATTTGCAGATCCCCATATGGAAATTAAATATTTCAATCAGAATATATGAAACTATAATACATGTCCATCAAATATTTGCCATGATATCGTATTCTATGAAGAATATCGACACAATCGGTGTTTTCTTTTGAAGTTCTTCAGTATGTTTATTCCAACGGAAATGTTCATCAATACAGATGAAATTTCGTGTAATTTTTGTATATGATCTCATTACTTTCAAATTAGATGGGGGGAAATCGACTAGGTTATTTTTTTCGAGTTATGAATAAGATGATTTGAAAAATTTAATATCAATTTATGAATTTGTAACCAGAAAGAAATTGTATTAAAATTATGAGTTACCTAAGCAGTCAACTACTATAACTGCGCTGATAAAAAAAGTACATTGTTGTGGAATATATCCATATTATGAATTGGAGCCGATTTGTCAAGAATCAGTGATTTACAGAAAAAATAGCAAGACATTTTTATATAGATTTTCATGATGAACAAACAAAGATAATAATATAATTTCGCAGATATTTATGTTGTTATTGCACGTACTTATGTCCATTGTGAATGAAATGTTATTTTTTTGAAAACGGTGACATCAACAAAAAAACAGTGTAGGGAATATAAAATACTGATCCCAATTGATAATTCTGAAGATACTAGAAAACAAATTTTTAGTAAAGAAATCAACCAGCTTTTATTTTATCAGCATCAAAAAATTTTCCCTAGACAATATTGAAATTCAAATAATTTCAACACAATACAATAGATTAACAAAATATTTGAAAGTAAACCTCTCCAAAATAATATTCAAGATCTACTTACATATATATAAACAATGAATTTTCCCTTCTCCGAAACTTCAACATTTCGGTAATGTACCCAAAAAAAGAACACTTTAAACGAAAATTCTGAGACACTTCACGTTCTATATACATCATGACATCACCAAATCCCAACACTTAATGAAAATTCACGACAGTTCTATTTGAATTTTACTATATTCCAAAATGTTATGAATATAAATAGTAGCCTCAACAACTATGAAAGGATCAACATAGTTTAAATATGAAACCATTATCCCGTTAAGAATTTAAATGGTGATTTTCATTTCATTTATTCTAATAAATTTCGTTTTGTTCACATTTACGACTATCTTCAAGACTGAAAAAGCTGATTTTCAACTCACTCACTCACTCAAAGTGAAAGGAATGGGACACAAAGCTGGCCATAAACATAATTTCTCAGGGTTAGAGAACTATAATCAAGTGTAAACACCCTGTCAATACTTCCAAGAACCCATCCTACCTAATGCCGATTGTTTCTTACCTAAGTACAGAAAAGGGCGAGTTGATAATTAGGATTTCCAATCCTTGGATTTCACTTGCTTTGAAGATTACGTATTTATTAACTTACTATAAAGTTATATAGGGTGAGTCACCAAGATTGCCTCGGTCTATTGCTATCAGACAAAACAATTTTTCGATATTTGTAAAATATCTGTTTTTCTTATAAGTACACCTCTGATAAAATGTTAAAACATTTCATATAAATGAATTATGTCTGTTTAAAAATGAATGAAACTTGACCGGTTTTACCGAGCACCCTATTTATTGTTTACGAAAGTTGAGATTCCATAAATTATAATGGTGATGTTGACTAACAGGCGCTTCATTGCTTAGACCGCCCCTTTACCCCCGCGCATTGCCCCCGTTTCTTACAGCAGACGCGACGTGTAATGGCTTACTGCGTTGCGTCAAGTTAATCTTATCGTGATAACTTTTAAACGATTCGTCCAAATAACTTTGTGTCGAAGACAAAGTTCATTTATATTAATTACTTGAAACGACAATTGTATCAATTTTCATAAGAATTTGACAGATATTACAAAATGTGTGTTGTAAAAAAAACTATCCAATTTGATTGTATTTACAGCTCAGTATTTTTCATATATTGGCTACCACATAAGAGGTAGGTATATGCTATCGCGGGCTTTTATTTAGAACTATTCAAGATAAAGAATCTTACGGTACATTATCTTCATTTAACTCCAACGGTATAGGCAACGCACGACAAGATACCTTTTAGGGAGCAAGAATTTTTCCGACTTACTTAATAGTTATCGTTATATTATAACCAAAATTACACAAAACCGTAAATTTAGCCTATATGTTATTCTGATGTATAAGAGCTTATTTATGTGAAGTTTCATCTAAATCCTTTCAATCGTTTAGGCGTGAAAGACTCACAAACATACATTCGTACATCCATCCTCACAAACTTTCACATTAATTTATATAAGTAAGTATAGATTGTTATCTCCAGACATTATTTTTTGCACTTATTTGACAAAAAAATTAACCATCGAGAGATATTATTCTCTTCCTGAGTTTACATACACGCACACTATTATTTTAAAGTAAGCATGTGAACAGCTCAGGTACAGTCATCATAGGTGCTAAAGTAAATACTAATTTTGGTGACATTTACACCAATTTATTTTAAAATTAAAAGTAAAACACTCCGTGAGGTGAATCGCACGATATACGGTAATACCTCGTTAATTCTTAGCTCGCACAAGTTTTGACTTCTCTGGGTTGTCGTTCGTAGACGGTTGTGAAGTTAACCACATTCACAAAGTAAACTGAGTAAAAAATGTCGAATTATTATTTTTTAATTTACCAACAACACCTACCATTTTTCAATATGATACGCTTATTGACTGATTTAGTGAAAAAAAAACCGTCTTAACATGAAAAATCGACTTTGTACACCTACAAAATTGAGATATGTTATTCCTGATGATCTATTCCACAAAAAAAACGTCACGTCATAGTTTTCCAGGCCGTCTGAGGAGGTGAAAATGGGATGGAAAGTTGAAAAAATCGTATCCTCGAAAATTGAATGTGTACACCTACAAGTTTGAGATATTTTATCCATCATGATCTATTCGACAGAAAAAACTTCCCGTTATAGTTTTCCACCACATGTTCACCCCCTCAGATGGCCTGAAAAACTATGACGTGAAGTTTTTTCTGTCGAATAGATCATGATGGATAACATATCTCCAACTTGCAAGTGTACACATTATTTGAAAATAATTATTGGCTGACCAAATAATCACCTCCATAAAGTTAGCAAGGCAACTTGCAGTAAAATTATTGAAATATACTTTTTTAATTGTCGAATAATTGTCGAGAATTTGTCGTGAAAGAAAAATAATTGTCGCGNGGATTAATACATTTATTATTATTTATTATTTTTCAAATATGACTAGGAAACTAGGTGATATATTTATCTGTAGTTTGTAGTAAATTCTGCCAAAACATGAACTACTTGACTATTATGATAGATATTTTTTCAAGTGGGATAATATATGCTTCATAGATTCTCTTCATCTAACATGCCATGAAAGGATCCTTATGGAAGTATCTATCACAATATTTAGCACTGAAAAGTTATCTTCTCTGGAGATTAATAACATTCATTAATTTATCAACATAACCAAAATTGAATAATCGTTTGTCAGACTAAAGAAACCGATGAAAATGATATTATATTTTCAAGTGCTCTAAGTCGAGTTTCGTTGTGGTCGTAGTAGTGGACGGACGTGCCGATAAGGTCCGTCCACAAAGAAGGTATGCGGATGCCCCGTGCTATCGCGGGGCTTCTATTTATGTTGTGATTGTCTATTGTGCAAAAATGTTAAAGTTTATGTAAAAGTTTAGACAAACATGTGAAGTGAGGGCCCCCTTTATTCACGGCGGTATCCAGGCCGGTAACCAGGTTCGGATAGCCACATAAAGGGGGCCATGTATGTGAATTCAAAAACCCGAAGGTCTCCCGAAGAGGAGGCTACTCAAAAATATATGTGAAAAAATCAAAAGGTCTTCCGAGCAGAAGGTGACAATAAAAGAGTTGAATTGTTTTCATCGTAAAAAAGTTCGACAAAAAAGGGTGGCAACATTGCTTCAAGCAAGACCGCTGCCCTCCCACCCCCCGACGAAGCTCCAGAGTGGGAAGCAACGTCCAACAAAATTAGACAGAGAGAGAGAAGTGCTCTAAGATTTTGTGAAATATGCACACCCCACATGTAATTTTCAATCTTGAATATTCAATTGTGTACTTGCTTGGTATATTAGGTCATCTTTTATCACATTATTTTGTTATTTATATTGAATAACTGACTAACCTTGAAAATCTGGTGACGGTGGTGGCATCAAAAGTCCTCGTAGTGGAATCCCTCCTCTCTTCGAAGACGCTCCTATCCAGGATAGTACCTTGTTTTTCTAACCTCTCAAAGAACGACTCTTGGCACTCCCTACTAGCGAAATCCACTTGAATTTTAGTATTCTTCAAACTAAACCCGCGCATTTTATTAACCGCACCCTGCGCGTTCAACACTTGTTCATAAAATACGAGCGCTTGGCCCTTTTCACGATCTATGTGCACTTTATTTATAACGCCGAAAGGATCAAACTGCATTTTCAGGTACTTTTCGTTAACACTCTCGTTAACCCCGTCAATCCACACACAGTTGTATGGCATCGACTTGCCAAAACCTAACTTAATTCGATTATTACCTAGATGTTCTCCGTCCATTTTCCGTATGGCCTTGACAACACTCACTATATCAGAGTACTGACAAAACGCATAAGAACTCACAGCCCCTTGTTTTTTAATGTCGATTTCGATTATCTCCCCAAACTGATCGAAATGTTTCCTGAGATCGGACGCGGTTACGTCTTTTTCTAGATTACCGATGAACAAAGTCCTCGTGGCCTTCGGATGGAACTCATCGATTTCCGCCTCGTACGGCCTCAAGTCGTTGTCCTCCACATCGTAGCCCTGGTAGGGCGCCACCTCGATCTTGCACCCGAAAAACAGCTTATCGTAGCTCACCTCAATAGCCTTCTCTACGTCCTCGGGCTTCTTGAAGCAGACGATGGCGTGTCTTTCGGAATCCTTGCCGACCACCTTCACCCACGTCACTTTCCCGTGTTTTTTGTACTCGTGGAAAAGACCGTCTTTCAACGAGGTGTCGGACGACCTCACGGGTAGGTTTTTCACACAAATCGCGAGCGGTCTACGATCGTCCGAATGGACAACGGGCTGGTGATTTGAGTTGGCCGTCGACGCTAACCTCCTGGATTTTGGAGAACTCGTCGAACTTGTATCTCTAGATGTGGAGGAACTTGAGGAGCTACTACTGCTTCGGGATCTGGACCTGGAAAGAAAAACGATATATAGAATAATAAAAAAAATCTCTTAGACGGCAATACATTTTTTTTTCGCTATATGGATGGGGAAGGTTAGGTTGGGTTAGGGCAAAAGTGAGTGGGGTCTTTTCGACTCTCCACCGCAACCCGCAAGGCTTTTTTTGGCTCATACCAATTCCCACTCGACCAAGTTTTTTAACGAAACCGATTAGTGAGTGTCTTTCAGGTCAGATAGAGAAAGTGCGCTCTGCCAAACCCTGAAACACTCTTTTGACAGTCCGAATCTCTGCATATGATGATCCAGACGACAGTTACCTGTGAGAAGGCCTATTAGACATCGTAGTTTATCCCTACTGTAGTCTAACAACTGTTTGGTTTCAAGCTTCGAAGGGTGAATGAACACCTTGGGGCGAGCCAGTTCTGGAAGATTTTGCCAGAAGTCCATAAATCTTCTCGACATCCAGGTGTTCAATATTTATTTGCTGAAGCCCAAAGCGATGCCAATGACAGGTTATGGTCAGATGAAGCTGCTTGCAGCACTCTCCTTTGCAAAGGAGTCATCAGCCTCATTTCCTTCCAGGCCACTATGACCAGGAATCCAGAGCATGGAATGGGGAAACGTCTGACTCCTTCATTTTTTCAAAGTATCCGTAAAATTGCATTTTCATGACACCCATTTCGAGAATCTTGCTTCACATTCTTGCAAAACATGACAAACTCACTATCCCTTTGACGCACTGCCTCCAGCTAAAGTCTCAGTCACACCAATCCCTGCTGTGTTGAAGTGGTTTTCCAGTTTTTTCGGACATTTCCTCTATAAAGGATTTCCTGTATGCGTTCCCAAGTATAATTTTCAACAGTCCCGATCTGGACCCATACCACAGATTTTGATACCTCCACAGCTGGTTCAGGAACCATATCGGGTTTTTTGCTGCCTATGAAATACATTAAACTAACTCTATTTTGAAATAATTTCACATAAGCATCTCCTTGTTATAGAAGTTTCATATCTGTCCTCTTCCACTACAGTTCCTCCAATCCGCTATGATAATACGACTCAGTGTAGTTAACCTAGCATTGGTAGCTCGTTCTGTTATACAAAATGTTCGGTCTGACCCGGTCTTGTTACCGACGTGATTATTATAGGAGGATGAACGCAGCAAGCATTGATACACACATGCATGTTTTCAAAGTAACCAGGCAAAAAGAGGTGTATGAGGAATCGGTAAGTTTGCGAGAAATGAGTCCGCGAAAAGGAGAAAGGGATCAGCAAACCATCTCAGATGCTTTCTTCCTTTCTTTGGGAAGGATTCCCACAATTTTTCGTATAAAGATGGAAAAGTACAGAGTCAAAACCTTTCCTTCCCAAAAATTAATCTCTCTCAAAAATATACCACTTTCATTATATCATATTAGACAATGGAAGTCCGAACTAACGAAATGCACCACGAAACATTGTCAACTACCTTCAAATAAATACTAAAATTAGTGCCTACCTCGAAGGTGATCGACTACTGGTACTTCCAGATGGCGATGGAGACCTGGAACCTGACCTGGATTTCGTTTTCTTCTTTGAACTTTGATCCGAATTTCGCCTCTCATTATTTTCCGACGGTGTTGTGCTATACCCTGTATCTGTCTGACTATTACCTGTGGTGTTATTATATCTGAAACGAGCCAAAATGAAGGTAGATTAGATAACAAGTGTATGATGAATAAAATGAAAGATTATATACAAGCTGATAATGAGAGTTTTTGCCGATTGGCAAAATTATAGGAGCCGTCAGCAGAAGTGATACTTTAGATACGGACTAATCGTTTTATGGGATCGGTGTTGAAAATTATACATATTAATATTTTGCTATCGTGTACTAGAACACATAAGAAATATTTTCATCTGCAACATTTGAATAAAAATACCATTTCCTATGCTATAAGCATAGTGAAAATCAACCAGTGAGTCCACTCCCACTACTTCCATTCATAAATTCAAAAAGTTCTCGGTGACCTCGAAACGAAGTGCGTAGCCAATTTCGTTCTTTCATTATAGGCGTGCGCTCATATAAAAACGAAATTTAAAGATATAGAAGATTTTGTGTTAAGTCAGTTATAACCAACTACAAAAACCAAAAACAGTAATAACAACAGAGAATAAACTGAACACAATATCAATTTCCGACCATTTATTATAACCAGTACGATGCCCGTGGTACCGTCGAATCCTTCGATACTACAGCACTGAACGTGTTGGATGAGAATCTCATCCTAAGAGCGGCAACTCGGGCCGATCACGTGGTAAGAGAACCTACTGGTTGTATAATTCTACGATGCTATAAGTTCGAAGTAAACCCGGAGTGTAGATTCGTCATCCGAATCAGCAGTTTGGCATTCGTTATGGATTTTGAATGGGATATTGAATCAGTTGAAGGAAACGAGAAGTGCTGAATTTATTGGAGCTATTCGTTCCCCACCCTGGGGCTCGTACAAGCTAATAAGCCTGATGTATTCCTTCTCGACCACCAGAGCAAGACGATATTTTTTGTTGTGGAGTTTTCAGTTCCTGACGAGAGGAATATCGTCCGAAAAGAGAAAGCAAAACGGATAAAATATCTTTTTTTTCGAATTCCGCAGACTCTATCCAGACAACTCTGTCAAGATGGTTATTCTGATTATTGGAGTACTTGGTGGAATGATGCCCTCTCTTACTCTCTCGGGCTGCCGCACTAAGGCAGAAATCCTAGCCGAACAGATGCAGTAGGCTGTCATTCTTGGCTCACTGCGCTTCTTCAGTTCACATGATTCTTTTACCTAATGATCACTTACCCCACGGTGTGGGGAGTGGTTGTTGGTAATGCTGGCGCGCCCCCCGAATATATCGGGGTTTCGGGGGGTAGGGTCTGACCAGCGCATACTACGGTAAAAAAAAATAATGCGTCTTCATTCACCATAAAACTACAACCTTGAAATAGCAATAACTAAACAGTCATAACACCAGAAAATGTATGCAACCGCTGTAGAAAATTCCTTTTCGCAATGCCAAAGTCGGAAACGGGCAAGAAACTAGACAGTTGAGTAAGTCTTTAGTCTTTTAAAAAAAAAACATTGTATAAGATCTAAACCCACGGGGTAGGTGATTGTAACGTTTAGGTACATTTTACGAGAAGCAGCGGGTGAAGATGGAAGATATGTGTTTGGAAATGACTGAAACTGAACTGTTCCATGTGGTAAAATTATTTATTGTTGAGAATGTTCTAAACCTCTTCAGTAAATAATCAGGTTGACGAAATATTAAAACTTTATGTGTATGTTGATGAGTAGATGCAGGGTTCTAAGTTTCTCAACTTTCAACAATCCTGATTCTTGCATGACTGAAAATATATGGTCAGATTTCCGTATACCAAATGAAAAACGTAGACAGCTATTCTGTAGACGAAGAGCATTCGATTGTCTTAAAGCGGGTCCATAAAAACTGTCGCAATAAGACATTTTTGACATGATCAGTGACTCATATAGTCTCAGTTTCAACTTTGTGTTGAGCAAATCACGATTTGGAAACGTAATAAGAAATTTCGTTCAGATAGCTGACATGTTTAGTGAAGGAAAGTTCTGGATCAAACCACAATCCTAAGGTTTTCATCTAGGTCATGAAAGGAAGGATTTCATTTTCGATGCGGACTTGAAAAGTGGAGTTGGTAAGCTCTCTGTTCTTCTTAGACAAGTTTTTTTGTAGGCGTTATTGAAAGGGGGAAGTGATATCCAAAATAAATATTCATGTACCAGGGTCAAAAAGTAACAGAATCATGATTAGTTTATATCAATAAGGTGGAATTAGTAAAATATCCATGACGAATCATGCAAAATAAATGTTAGTAGGTAAAATAACTACCAAAGGTGAACTTGAAACTTTAGATTACAATCTATATAGCAGGTTCAACATGTTATTCTACAATATACTTTATTTTGATAAGTACAGTTATTATCGAAAACAAAATTAAGCGGTAATACATTAACCTAAAACTTTTGCGAGAACTCATGGTATGTGCTATGAGTACAGTTGATAATAATAATTATTATTAAGAATAACATACTGTTGGACATATCTAATTGTACCAGAAACACAACCTCACACATTTCTATCGGTATTATAAAGCTAGTGATACCAAATACTAATCTATAAAGTCTATTATGACCCAAGTAAGTCATTATTGAATTTTATACTTGAAACTTTTTAAGCTCTTATTTTCAGTGTTTTCAAACGAAAATGATATTAAATTTCATTAAAAAAATTACTTCACCAATAGACTTTTGAAATTCGAATCAGCATGCAAAATATTGATTTGTAGAAAATTTATTGAAAATTTGTATGTCTCCCGTTTTTTTCTCTCATTTTGCGCAACTGAATTCGCAACTCTAGATTTTGAGATTGACCTCTCACCATTGGGATTTAACAATCACTCATATATACTTTTTCATAAGAAAACAAATTGTTGAGTAAAAACTGTGTTAATTTATTTTAAAGTGTTCGAAGATATTTTAAGAATTTCATGAAAATCGAAGAGTGCCTCATTCTATACCTCGACAATATCTCAAAGAAATCAAAACGAGGCATTTTAAGTTAGATTTTTTCTACAATGTTTCGTTGAAGGCATTGAAGGTTTGTAGCAAAAAAAATAATTTATCCTACTTTGATCGACTATGAGAATGTCTGTCACACACCTTACACGAATCCATCGTTAGCTCAAATAGATCACGGCGAAACAAATACATCTTACTGATTAGGAGAATATCAATACTTATCACGTTATACCAGGGTGGTCCCAGAAGTACCCGTTCTGGCCTAGAAATGGCGGTAGTTGTTTGAAAAATTCACGGTATTAGAAAATACACAACCTATAAAGCATATGTTTCAAGTTTGAAGACGCTGGGTTGTATAGTATTTGTTTGGCAGCCATCAATAGCGAACGTTTTCGGTGAATTTGTGAAAATGAAGAAAATTGGTCACCATTATGTCGTGCCATACTTTCATTTGAAAGGCCTCAGTCCAACTGAACTGGATTCTACTCTGGGTGAGTCTGCTCCTTCGTTAACAATAGTAAAATATTAGGTAGCAGAGTTTAAACGAGGCTATACGAGCTGTCAAGATGAGCATCGCAGAGGTCGACCAAATGGGTGCCGCGTTTGCTCACACTCATGCAAAAACAGTGTCGTGAAGTTGTTTTAATTGATTGTTTAGCGAAGTTTCACAGCAACAAAGCAGAATTCTTGCGTCGTTTCATAAGCATGAATGAAACATGTGTACATAAATTCACACTCGAGACGAAAGAGCAATCAAAACAGTAGACTCAAAAGGGAAAACTGGCTCCAAAGAAGGCGAAGACTGTTTCATCTGCAGGCAAGGCCATTGTATCGATTTTTTGGGATGCGCATAGAATAATGTTCATTGACTGTTTAAAAAAAGGTATAACCATCAACGACGAGTATCATGTGAACTCATTGCAATGTTTCAGTGAAGAAATGAAACAAAAACCGCCGCATTTGGTTAAGAAAATAGTGTTGTTTCACCAAGACAATGCATCAGCTCACAAATCCATTATTGTAATGACCAAAATTAACGAATTAAAGTTTGAATAGCTATCTCGTGCACCCTAATCGCCAGATTTAGCCCCCTCGGACTATTTTCTGTTCCCAAACTTGAAAAAATGGCTAAGTGGTCAAAAAATTTCCAACGATGAAGAAGTGATGTCCGCTAGAACCTAAATCAAAGATGGAGTGCCACCGACTACTTGCAAGATGCTTATCTACTAATTAGTGTTGAAGACGATTTCGCTAATACGTGGTCCGAGGATAATGTACATTGAATATATTCATGAACCAGTACAATCATGTTCATTGTTTTGCACTTGTAGGTAATATTTTTTAATACACGTGATTTTGGAGAGGAGGGGGTAGTCTAAGACCTCAATCAATCAATCATATATTTCATTCAGAGACCCTATTGGGTATAGAACATGTCAATCACAATGAAAAATAAAGAAGTTCTTATACTAAAAAAGAAAGCTAGGTTTACAATCAATATGCACGAATACAAATATATAAAAACATAGACTAATTCACTATTGTTTCATATTAAAATACTCAGTGAGATCGTAAAACAAATTAATTTCTAAATATTTTTTCATGGTGCTTCGGAATCTGAATAGTGTGGTCTAATTTCTAATATTCACTGGCAACTTATTGTAAGCCTTTATAACCATGCAAATTGATTCCTTTGACACCAGATCAAGACTGTCAAGTCTGGGATAGATATTGCTGCTAGCTCTAGTTTGATTTGGGTGTACATCACTATATCTCGGAAGTGTAGTTCTGGTTCTGTAGATATAACATACCACCTCCAGTAGATACAAGCAGACTAATAGCAGGATATTCAACTCTGCAAATAGAGGTCTACAGGAGAGTCTGTTTGACGTTTTCATTATAGCTCGTATTGCTCGTTTTTGTGATAAAAAAAGACCTTGTGTGGCCGGCATTGCTCCCCATAGCCTTATACCATACATCAAATTTGACTGAATTTCTGCAAAATAGAAATCTCTCAGGCAGTTCCTATCGACATGGTTACGAATACACCGAATTTAATATGTTTCAGAATTTTTTCTTTCTTCTAAAGTCAATCCTAGAAATTTCACAGAAATGTTTCGGTTTATGTGTACATAAATTACGTACAAAGATTACGTATTCTGTTTTTTTCGGTATTGAGATACGGTTGATTGGCAGAGAACCATTCCCTAAGTTTCCCTAGTAACAGATTGCATCAAACATAATCAGGTCTAGGGGGCAAAAATTTGCTGAAAAATATCATGTGATTATTGGACGACCCCTTACCATTTTATCAAGTAACTCAAATACCGCTAAACCCAACAGGTTTCACGAATCACGTCAAACGGTCAAAAACTCTTCAAACAACTGTTCTGCAACCATATTTCTCACTTATATATGTAGTTTGTCAAAATTTCCAGAAATACTAAATTGTAGACAAGATTCTCGTAAATTTTTCACGGTGACCAGTTCCATTTATTCAGTATTTTAGCAAAGTGTTAGCCCTGTACTTCTACTTTTCTACTGGTAAGTTTACATGCATCAGAAAGAGTTATTATTATCATTATTATTTTTACTGTTTGCAAATACCTAGTCGAATCGTAGTTCCACGCGCTGTTCGGCGTCCTGGAGTGTCGATCCATGAGAGCGGTGGTGGCGGCGGCGGCGGAGGCGCTGTAGGGACCGTTCCTGTAGGTGCGATCCCTGTTGCGGCCCCGGTTAGCGTCGTGGTAGCCGGCGGCGGTCCCGGTGCCCCCCGGCGCACCCCCCCTGCGGATGAATTCGCCCTCGCCGCCGGCCAACCTCGGCGTCGATCTCTCGTAAAAACGTTCTGGAAACGTTCCATGCTCGTCGGAGGACCTGCAACAAGACAAATGCGCGCTTTTAGTCCCGTATCGACAGCGGAGGACCGGCTGCGCTGACGAGGGCCCCCGGAGCTTCGAGGGGCCCAGGAATTGACGCGAAAATTTTCACGCAACTCGATTCTTCAATCAAGTTTCGATTTTTCTTCATTCGTTATACTTTTCGGACCGACAAACTCCAACGCCATATCAAAGATCCATCAGATCGGTCGAATCGAAACGTCCGTCTGTCTGTCTTTCTGTTCGTCTGAAAAGCGAAAAAATCGAATATCGCTTGAACGGAACGAGTTATCGACATTATAATTCGATACTCATTGTTCCGGTACATTTTCGAAATTAATCTTTTCCCGATATTTTCATAAAGGATAGGTTATCAACATTTATCGACTTCAAACATATCAATCGGTTGTACAAAAAAAAATAAAAGACATATTTGAAATAACTATAATAGTATTCGGATATTCGGAATATTGAAAGAAAGAAAAATAATAGTCATTATTTCAAAAACAATTCAAAATATAAAAAATTATTAAAGTTCAATTATATTTAACCTCGAATTATGTGTAAGTAGAGTAGACAGTTTCTTATCACTAGAATAATACAAGAAATATTTGGGCAAATCCGAAAATAAAAAGATCCTCTTTCGATTATCTCATAAAAGGAAACAATTGGAAATAATGACGGGAACTTTTTACTCCGACACAATCGTATATTCAAGTTCTTTATGTTTTTTCTTTGAAGTCAATATTTCAAAAAATCGACATTTTTCTATGAATAATTCAGTCAGTTTTGTACTTGATAATACGGTTAAACCCGAAACCGATCGTATAAATAAAATTAACTAGTGGTAATTAGACAAAAGTGTTTTTATTAATTTCATTAAAGTAATATTGCAGTCCATTGAAAACACTTCAATAAAAAAAAAAACAAATGCGCATTTTACTCCGTATCGACACCTTAAGGTGCGTATTCTTCAAAAAAGCGAACACGAGCGAGCATGAGCGAGCATTCGTGTATATTTGCTCGTGTTCGCTGGTGTTTGCTCGACATATTGATGTCTCGTCCACACCAGAGCGAATATTTTCAAGTTCGTAGTACCGCCTTCTTATCGATCTTTTCTGAACGCGAACAAGCATACGTTCGCTCGCTCGCTAGCCCGTACTCATCAGACGATTATTGATGCAGAACGCTCGTTCACTCTTGTTCGCTCGTGCTCGCCTTTTTAGTGAATAGGCACCTTTAGCTGTTATGCTAACGCGGGCACCCAGAGCTCGCGGAGGGGGGCGGCGATGCGAAAAGTCGCGCGCAAACCGGGGTCTTTTTTTACTGATTCGTAAATCAACCTTCGATTTTGTTTTAAATTGGTAATCAGTGTGATAAACCACGCCGCCGTGAGAGTCCATCATATCGGTGGAAAAGAACATCTGACTGTCTGTCTACACGGCGAAAATAATCAAACGAAACAACATATACCTTTGAAAGTTGGAATGAACGGAGAGCAAATACCTATGGGCTCAAAAAAATGAAAGTGGAAACTTATTTTTCCGGGATTTTCTGCAAATCATTCTTGTCCGATATTTTCAGAACGAATAGCGATATCAAAAGTTTTCATTTTAACGATTTTATACGTATAAGAACCGGTTTAACGAAAATATCTCCGAAAAAAAAAGTATTTTCACTAGCTGCCACACGAACTATGTTAAAAGTCTTACGTTTTTCTATAAAGTTAAAATTTCAGGAAATATTTGAGAAAAATAATAATCTGGTATTTTTCTTCGAATAATTGAGTCTGATTTATTTACTTAGTACAATATAAACGGGATGAATCCAAAGGCAGTAATTTTTTTTCAGTTGGAACACATGGATGGGCAAGGAATTAGAAAAAAGATTAATGTTTGGGGAACCTCCGAAGTTCTAGGAAAAAAGTAAACAAATTTTTTCGACAAAATAAATAGTGAATCTTTTTCTTCCATCGAGTACATGAAAAAAATTCCATTATGATTTTGCCTGATAGAAAAAATAGTGAGTTTAGGGAAAATAACATTTTTCTCACAATTGTGAAACGGTTCTAGACATCGAAAATGTGATAATTGTTTCATTATCATTCGATAAGAATAGAAAATCAAAACGTGTATAAGTTTCACGACTCGATTGTGGGGTACCCTATTTGAGATTGATGCCAACACATGGAGAAACAACTACATGAAATAACAATATTATTGGTAAACCAGCACTGATCGCGTGACGTCACTGATGTGACGAAGACTATTCGCGATCCTTCCTCAACGGAGTTCCAGCGCAATGAATAATTGAAATAATTCCTAGGTGATTTTGAACAAATTGTTTGTCATATATGTCACGGGCTGTATGACATCTGTATCTGTAGAGTCGGGAGGGTGGTGAGTGTAGGCCCACAGCACTCAGGCCACATATGACTCATTGTACATCCTCCCGAAGAGTTGTCCTCCTAGGTCACCGTCCATCCTGTCCTTTCCAGTAAGATGGACAGGTCACTAGAAGGACATCTCCTTTATATCGGTAGGTGTAGGCCAAGACTCGCCGAACACACACTTTCCTATTGACGATAACTCCGGACACTCGCATAGGACACGCCTGACAGTCTCATCTTCCTGTTCACACATCCTGCAAAGAAGTGTGTCCACTAGCCCCATATTATGGATGTGTTTCCTCAGTTAACAGAGGCCAGTCAGAAATCCTACTATTAAGCGTGGATTTTTTCTGGTCATCGCCAGATATTTCTTCGACGCCAGCTTCCCAGGGTCGCCCAGGGTGATCCTGGCAAAATTGCATCCTTTGATTCCATCCCATCTCTTTAGGGATTGAGCATGGGTGTGACGTTTGACTAGTTCCGCAATTGTCGAAGTCTTCAGACCATAGGTCCGCTGGGTTTTAAAGTTCGTAGTCCAGCCGCTTCCTTGGCTAAAGAGTCGGCAATGCGATTACCTTTACTCCTGTCGTGCCCTTTAACCCATCTCAGGATAATGCTATTATCTACCGAGGCTTTGGCTAAATCTTGGTGGCACTCTAGTACTAGCCCAGAGGTAACACGTCTGTTCAAGGCTAATAGGGCTTGTCTACCATCTATGCAGATTGTTATGTTTTTGCCAGAAATTCCTTTCCTGGTTATTTCTTTTGTGGCGATTGAGATACCAGCCAGTTCTGTCTGGTATTTTTTCCCGTTCTCCTGTATGACATGTTGCACAATCTTTCTGAAATCACATACTGGCCATATCAATAGTATTCAATTTCGGCACAAAGTAAGTATGGTCCAATAATGCCTCTAGCCCAAAATCCACACCAAACAGTGCATATTTTTCGATAATCATAAGTGGATTTTGCGAAGTCCAAAAGCGACAATTTTGTCGATTAACAAAGCAAGAAAGCATCAATAATCCATTCAACGAACTCTATTCGCTATGTATGGTGGTTGGGCTTCTTGAAATTTGCAATTCTTGTACACGACGCCCGAAGCAATGCTTCAATATTGTTTTAGGACGGCCATTGTGTTTAGTGTCTTAAACTAACCCAAACTTCCTAAATTTTTCAATTATTCTCTTCACATATTTTCTATGAAATTTCCCTGCGGCAGTCAAACTTTCATTATTTTGGAAAGATTGTTCAACAATGAAGATATGTAGTTCTATCGTATAACGAACACTCCATTTTTACTAACCCTAAACTGTCAGCTGGCAAATTGTTTTTTAAGGTTGGTTACTGTACAAAAGGGACAAATTCAAATCTTGCGTCAATTCTAGGACACCATTTATTAACTCTACCGAAACAATTTTCCAATAGGACGCCTCTGATCGACATATAATCCGTTTTTCATCGAGTTACGCTTTTGCCATTCCCGTTAGGTCGCGATGCCACAAAATTTTCGTGGTTATAAATCCGTCGAACATTTCAGATTTCCAATTTCCGTCTTTTCCGGCAGACCTATTTACCTATCCCGGTTCGATCGATATCCAGGTTCGGACTGGATTTGGTCGAATGGTGCCAGAAACGTGATTGTGGATAATTTGAATTTACAGGTATCGTGACATTAGTTCCCAAAGGGATTCCTCAGGTGTAGGTAATTAATGGCAATTTTATTTTTTGTATATGCATATACTTTATTAATATTATTTATAAAAAAAACATAGTGATAGTTTCATATATAATTTATATCTATAACTTCATGTGTNTGACTGGTGAAAGTGGCGATCCCATTGCCAGTCCCTCACCTTGCGTAAAAAATCGCCCTTTAGTTAGAAATAGCAGTTTCGTACACAGCATCCTAGTAATTCCATGATTACTTGTATCGGTAAGTTGGCTCTATCTTCCAGGTCCACGTCTTCGGATAGCTTTCTCTGTATGACTTGAAGTGCTTCTTCGAAAGGAACGTTGGTGTAGGAGCTTTTCACGTACAAGCTAATTAGTTGATCTAGCTCTGAGACTTCGATTGCCCCTAGTACTTCGACAAAATGCCTTGAATTCTTCCCAAAAGATGAAGTTTTTCCTTGTAGTGGTTACGTTTATGTTGCAGTATTGTAATTGAACATGCTTTCTCTGTTCTTCCTATACGTTTATCTTAATAGCAGCAAAATAACAAATGTTCTGATGGTATCCATCTTCAGAAGTGGCTGAAATAGTACTACAGGATGTTATGAATCTTTATCGCACAAAACTGGAGTAATAATTGAAGATTTTATAGAGTCTGAAAACTAGCTCTCCTTCTGGTTTGTGGTGCAGTTAGTCAAATCGAGAAAAGGGCGGACGTATATATGTAAAACATTTGCTTGGATCTTCTTAATTTAAATAATCTCTCGAGTACATTTTGATAACTGTGCGTACGCGTAAATATAAAATCAATTTATTGGATTGATGGTCTATGGTTCTTTGTGAAACGTGTCAACTAGATCATTGGCATAACATTTTGCGCTACAGCTTTTAAAAGAATGTTGTTAATATGACTGGTTCAAACCAGTAATTTTTTCT